GAGTCCATAATCCATAATAACGCTTCCTCCAGTGAAAAAGTGTTCTGGTGTGAATCAGGAGAGAAATCTGCACAGATCAAGCAGCGTTTAAACCGCTCTAAACAAATATGTGGCTGGATTTTGATGTGAGAGACAACACGAGATGCACTTTTTCACTGGAGGAAGAGTTATTATGGATTATGAACTCGTATTTTAGTTAAAAACATCTTAATGCTGGATTTGTTTCTTACGAACACGCAGCTTTTTAAAACAGACAGCACAGAATTTCTGAACAAATAAAACATTTCAAAAGGCCCTATTATTGTTCAAATTTGTATAAACTATTAAATTGTTAAAGTTTTATAAATTCAGTTGATTATATGTGCTTTTTGATTGATGGAATTGAATTAGACCATTAAAATGGAATCCAGAAAAATGGAAAACATGGAATTTGGGGAAAATAAAATGTACAGTAATAATTGTTAAACCTTTAATACATTTTTTTTTTGTTTTTTTTTTTGTATAGGATGTTAATTATGTACCCAGTGTGGGTTATCACTAAGTGATGGTCCTTTGCAGTGATTGGTCATGAATTCTTTTTAAATGTGGTTTAAATTGTAATTTCATGTTTGAAGATACCTGATGAAGGTCATGCGACCAAACGTTGTTATTAAACCTTTATGATATTTCTGCACTAATTGACAGTGTGCGGGAATAGTTTTCTTTTTCCATGAATTATATTATTACAAATTATTTTTGTTTTTTTTTTTGTATAGATGTCATGATTTTAATTTGTTAGACATGCTTTTTTTATTACTGAAATTGTATCCAAAAAATGAAAATAGAAAAATCAGACTTTAGGGGAAAATAAAACTGATTTCATAGGACCCTAAAAATTTCATTTTTGTTAAGCCTTTAATAAAACGTTGTTTAATTGTACAAGTTCCATGATTTCAGTTAGTAAGAAATGCTTTTGGAGTACTAAAGTGAGTCCGGGAATTTATTAATTTATTTTCGACCGAAGAGAGAAACTCATCTACATCTGGGATGGCCTGAGGGTGAGTAAACTTTCAGCAAACGAACATATCTCTGCTGATCTTACAGCCGTCTTAATTGTAGCTAATTGTGTTTAGAAAACATCCAACAAACCAAACCAGCTGAAGTTCTCCTCCTAAACGGTCTCAGATGTTCTCGTCTCCTGACAGACAGCAGTCTCTGTTTGTTACTCAGCAGTGACTGGATTGTTTATATTTCAGGAGGCGTCTGTCAGAACGTGTTCCACGCTTCCATCTAAATGCTTTTGTGTGCTTTGGAGAAAATCGGAACCTTCGGCTCGGTTTGGATTCTGACTGATTCGGATGAAAACGCTGAAATCACACATTAGAGTCCAGGCATAGAAATGGACTTTACTGTAACATTACATTTGGATGAATAAATCAAAAGTAGGCCAGGAACTTAATCAAAACTGTGATTTGGACTATTGTCTGTAAATATAAAAACACAAGAGAGTCACTTCACCAGCATTTGATAAAACTGTCATCAGATACAGAAATTCAGAGGTCTTCACTATAATCCCCCAAATAAAGTTTATTTAAATTAGAAATCCTGACGCAAAATGCAGGAATATCGTACAGTAGAATGTACGATAAAAAATAATATCATATAAAATAATAATAATACAAAAATTTAACTTTATTTATTTTAATTC